GAATTATTTAGTACTGCAATGGTTTGTATATATGTATGTATGTATGTACATACATACCTAGATATGTATAACACCGTGCGACAAAAGCCAAAAAAAAATGTTAAAACACACTGCGTTTTTAGTTTTTCACTCTTACGTCAGGATTTTTTTTTTCAAAGGACTTTGAAATTTTAAAAATGTGATTAATTAAAAAAAATATTTAAAAAAATCAGTGCAATGTAGAATAACAATATGGGTACCAAATGAGAGAGAAAATTCTGTAGAATTTGAAAACAATAAATTTTTTTTTGGTTTACAAGGACGAATAGGTACTGAAAATGAGCTTTTAATAAATTTTATATTTTCAAATTAATAAAGTTTGCAGGACGAAATTCAGGGATGCGGTCGTGTGTATATTAGTCCTCAAACAATTATTTTTTCAAAAAAGNAATTCTGTAGAATTTGAAAACAATAAATTTTTTTTTGGTTTACAAGGACGAATAGGTACTGAAAATGAGCTTTTAATAAATTTTATATTTTCAAATTAATAAAGTTTGCAGGACGAAATTCAGGGATGCGGTCGTGTGTATATTAGTCCTCAAACAATTATTTTTTCAAAAAAGAATATAGCAAATTTTCAAGGATATTTAAGGACAAAATTTGTAAAGGACATTTTCCATACCCATTCGTCCTTATGCACCAAAAAATTTATTTTGTTATAATTTTACAGATTTTTTTATTTTATATGATACCCATATTGTTATCCTACATTGCACTGAATTTTTTAAATAATTTTTTGAAATAATGACATTTTTTAAATTTTAAACTCCTTTAAAAAAAATCCTGACGTCAGAGACTAAGAATGCAGTTTTACTATAATTTACCCATAGTTTCGCGAATATATTCATTTTTTTTTGTGTGTAAAATTTACTGTCGCACGGTGTATCTAATATAAATTAGAGTTCATAAATGTACGAAGACATATGTAGATACATAAAATCATAATCACATACTTATAAAACTCGTAACAACTGGAAACGTGTTTGGTGCTTAGGAATTTATTGATATAAGCAATTAATTGAAGTATGTACAGTATTATTTGTATAGGCCTTACATACATACATACATATGTACATACATGTCGTTACCTAAATGTGAAAAGGTGACAAGCTCATTTTTTGTAATTGTTCAGAAGAGACAAAAAAGGGATATAGTTTCGCATAATCTGTCATTCTGCCTCAAAAACTAAATTTTGAAAAAGAGTGGAAGAGTGGAAATAGTGGAGGGCACTATTTCGCCTTTGGGAGATTTTACTTTGGAGTACAGGAAAATTCTTATCATCGATAAAACTGATCTAATCAATTAGAAAATTTATAATTTTTTATTCGTACATATATATGCATGTATGTATGTGTATATATATGTACATGTTTATTTATTTAGAGTAAATATTTTTAGCCCCAATTTTTAAGCGAATAGAGCTGATGTTACCTCATAGAATTTTAATATATATATTTTTGACGTAGAATACGTCTTACCTTAAGGTATGGGGGCTATGTTCAAATGTTGTAGTTGTAATTTTTAGAGCTTCACAAAAACGCTTATTGCACGAGAACTAATAAAGCGATTTCAAAGAAAAGTGTGGCGTTTCAAAGATAAAATTCCAAACC